GACCTCAACTCCGTCTCGGTCCATAAACACGCAAAAAAAGAACTTGGCCAATATCCAGCCATCTTGACCTCACACTTGGTCAATAACCCATACATCTTATCCTCGCGTCCCCAACTTCCCAACTTTATTACCTTCGAAAAGCCTGAAACTCAGGGCAGCCGAATTGTCAAAGAAAAACAATTATTTTCCTTGGTAGTGTCTTAAAATGAATGCTGTCAAGGGTTAAAGTATTATAATCTCTGTTTCATTGTCAAAAAATTTTTGTTGATGTCACATATTTTTACTTAATACGTGACAACTTAAACCAAGCACGGGGAAGACTCCCATATAGAAAGGACAGCAGTGCTCATTGGAAATTTGAAAAGAACCCCAAGAGGTACCAAGATCCTGTTTTGTGGGTGTGACTTGAAATGTTTTCACAGTCTTTCGGCTCAATACCATAAAAGGTACTGCCAAAGCTCCTGCTGTGGACCCTTTGAGACTGAACACCCTAAGAGGTACCAAAATCGCCTTTGTAGCCCCTAAAAGGTATGACTAGCACCCCGTCCTCTCCCCCGTCCTCCTCCAACCCAAGCGGGAAGCTGTGGCATTGTGACGTGACGTCTGGAGACGATAAACATGGCGGAAGTGAATTTGCATTTCTTTCTGGGCTGAAAAGCAGCACACTTGATCTTAGGTCGTTGCAATTGAGTTCACAAGGAAGCTACTTGCAAGGTTAGTTATAGCCTTTTTCTGTCAGTTTTCTTTTAAGACGTGTTTTCGTTCTGCATGAACATGGAGAGTTCTTCATGAAACAAATGTGACGGACGCTCGAGGAAGTCAGATGACCAGACATTTCAACCAACTTGTTATTGTCGTTTTGATAATAGTTTCTACTGTAGGTACACTGATATAAGCTTACAATGTGGCTTAGTAAAATTAGTGGTAATAAATCTTAATTGAGTAAAATAAACAGTTTACATGCAAACTAGCGTTCGCAGATGTTGTTAAGATCAATTTCTCCTCTTTCTCTTTCTCTTCTCTTCCTCTTTCTCGTCTGTCGTTCTCCTTGAGTTTCCGGCTGAACTGAACGTCTTTTGCTTAACCACCCCCCGCCTTTCACGTTTTTACTTCTGACTCAGAGAACCAATATGCAGTCAGCATTTCACCCTCCGTCTACATTTCTTAACTCCAAGTCTAGACCTGCAGTCTACGTTTAAATAGGCCCAGTTCAGACGTCGTGCTTCTGCCGTGCCGAACTAAATTCAGGAATTAAGTTTGACAAAAGCACGGCAGAAGCACGGCGTCTGAATCAAACTTTTGAATTAAGTTCGACAAGCTCTGCAGTGCTACACGACTCTGCCACAGCCGCGATTCAAACATCATGCTTCTGTCACGCCAAACTAACTTCACAATGTGTTTTGGCGAGATTTCGTTCGTTCGGGGAGTTAGAAGGAGAATTGTTACGAGGCCTCAGTAAACCCTGGATTTGATTCAACTCTGGCACAACGTCTGAATCAGAGTTGATTTCCTGCCGTGCTACTGTCGAACCAAATTGCAATTTAGTTCAGCACGGCAGAAGCATGACATCTAAACTGAGCCTTACACTGACCGTGTATCTTTTTATGTTACCATAATGTGGTAAGTTTTTGACAGTAGATAATTGACAACTCGTCCCAAGGGAGGGTTTCATGGGTTGGCAGATGCGCAAGCTACAATGTTAATCATTCAATTTCATTGTCGATAATCAAATCAATCAATCAATCAATCAATGGGAAGCATGCAAATGACTCTAATACGGGAAATTTTCTTGAAAATTTTACAGTCAGTCATTAAAACCTGACAATATAGGTGAGATTTCTCATTAGAAATCCCTTCATGTTCTGACTCCATGCATAATAAGTACATAATTTTTTATTTTCATACCAACAAGATTTATTTGCAGAATCACAGACTATGATTTTATTTTGTAAAAGCATGATGCATCAGATAGCCTTTGAGTTGCTTACACAGCTACATATAGGCTAGCAAAATTACTGGTGTCCAAATTTTACAGAAGATGTAGACGGATTTAGGCCATTAAAGTGTTGAATTAAGAATTGAACATCAAACTTATGTTATTCAGGCCGAGCTGTTTATTTTGGATCAGACAAACGAGTTACGTACTCGCATTTGATTGGTCTATAAACTATGGAATTGGTGGGGCTACATCACAGCTAGCTTGCACGTGTGTCAGTGTCAAACTGTGAAACTATCCCTTTAATATATGGCAGCCTTTCAAATTCGGAGTTACAAACCCTTGAGTGGAAACCTATATGTATATTACAGCTGTCGTTAAGATTTGAGTCACCCATTGCAGTGGTCTTCACACCATCCTGTAGCAAACTTGTTACTTTGTGGATGAATTGTACCAACAACAGGCAATTTTGCCCATAACATCAAGGCCTCATCAAGGATTAACTCAGCCGTAACAGGTGTTATGGGTTATGGTCCTTAAGGTGGCTCAAAACAGTTTCCAGCACTTAGATTTTGATGGGTTGTTATAACCACTCTTTATCACTTGATGCTACAATCATGGTATCAAAAAACTGCCCAATCATTGGTGAACACGTTGGTATCATTTTCGTGACACAATAGGTTATCATAGCAACAGTATGACCTCCTAAAACACCCAACACTGCAGTGATGTAGCCATTTTCAGAAAGGTTGTAGTCAAAGGGAATGTGACAATGGTAAGGGGGTACATAATTTATAGGTAATTGGTAAAAGGTAGAGTCTGCATATACGAGCCAAGTGGCCAAGTGGCCATCAGAACAGAGCTTGTCCCAATTTTTTGTCATTGATATTCAGTTAGTTACGCTGATATCTCCAACTTCCCAGTACCCATTTATACAACTGAGTGGAGAGAGGTGAGGATTGAGTGTCTTGCCTAAGAACACAACTTAATGTCACAAATCAGGACTCAAAGTTCCCAGACTGCTCAATCCTGAGTGTAGCACACTAACCGTGAGTTCTGACCATGCCTCTGACTTGTTTCATGGGCAGTCAGGTGGTTTGCTGAGTGCAAACCAAGAGGAAAACAAAAATACCGGTATATATTTCTTTATTCTGCATTAAACCTTCATGAATTGCAAAGAAATAAAGAACTGCCACTACCCATAATATCTCATGCCAAACTGCCAAGTATGCTTTGACACTTCTGCAGGACAACCTTTAATTTGGCAAAACAGCAGAAAATCACACTTTCCCAAGTTCAGAGAGAACCATTTGACTGATCTAATCTTTTACCTTCTTTTTCAAAAACAGACTTGAAAAAAAACTATTGAAATGTACACTGTCAATATGGAAGAGCAGATATCGCAGGCAAAAGAGCTATTACAAATGTCAGATTTGGAAAAGAAAGAAGAAGCAGTGAGAATATTAATTGACATTTCTAAACAAGGAAACCAGGAGGCCACAGCCATTCTGGCTAAATGCCTAGCAGGTGGAGAAGGTGTCACATCAGAGAATGAAGATGAAGTAAAATGGTGTATAGAGACTTCTGAAGAGGAAAAGAGACTTCAACATGCTGTGGAAGAGATTTACCACTCCATGAAGAAAGATGGTGAAGACAAGGTTGCTCTTCAAGATATCAATGAAGCTCTGAAAAAGGCAGAAGGAAAACTTAAGGTGAGATTGAAGAATGTCGCCAGAAGCATAATAATATTTATAGCTTGTATGTGCCTGCATTTGTTCATTCTGCAACCCATGAATCCCAGGGAGGAGGGACTCCTACATGTATATAAAAAGACTGGGGAATTGCCTGTCGTCTCGCTTAGGGGTACAAATCAAGAATTCTGATCTCACTTAGGGTGTTGATGACAAAATGCCACAATTTTTAGATGTCAAAGTGTCTTTTAGGGTGCACTTCAAGCAATAATAATTTTACATGCTGTATGTTATTGCATGTTTCGCATTTCACTTAATTAGGAAAAAGAACAAGATACTGAGGGTGACATTACCAGTTCTTCAGAAAAAGAAAAGAAAGACCAACAACAGATGAGACAAGAACTGGACCTTATGAGCTTGCTGACAAATGCATTGACAGTTGGCAGACAAGATGAGTTCACTCTTGGTGAGCTGAAGGACACAGTTCTGGCATATGCTAAGGGTGACGTTCCAGAGGTTGTTACTGTGCTCAGTAAAGAAGATATGGAAAAATATGAAAAGGCTTCTCCCATAGAGAAGGTATAGTCGAACCCCAATTAAGCAGCCAGCAATTAAACAGCCATCCCCAATAGGCGGACAGTCGTCAAAGTCCTTATGGGGGCTTTTCTATTGTTTTTACCTCTATTAAGTGGCCAACCCCTTTTAAGCAGCCACTATTCATTCCTCCACGGGTGGGCCATTTAATAGGGGTTGAATGAAATATATAGTTATCTGCAAATATTTTTCACAAGTAAGTTGTGGTTTAAATTAATGTATTTAATATTTGTTTTTAGTTTGGTATTTTTTGAACCAGGTGCTTTATTATTTTTCTATGTCCTGTAGTTTATAAAGTTTTAAACCAAAACCTCATCACATGCCTTTGTAAATGTTATACATATATTGGATCATACTAAGTACATTTACATGTGGTTCATGACCAGATCAGAATAGAACACTCATGTCTCGATTTTTCCAAAAGTCAACCCTCCTTTGTTTACCGCATATTACTGACATTTATGTTTATAATTAGTGCGTGTTACAAAAATCTCATTTTTGATTCAATAAATTATCATAGTTCTAGTTGGTGTTCCAGCAGTGAGAACTTGTAAGCTTTGTTTGGTTATTTGTAGCTATCCATGGCCAGTACTGTAGATTAATCTCAGGTTTAGGTGAAGAGGATCCAGTTTGTTTTATGCTTGGGCAGTTTTATTCCAGCTTCCACCATGAACTGTTATGTTATACTCACTTACAGTGGGGCTCTTGCACGCCGGAGGCATGTGAGCAGAGACTCATTGCTTAGGAAATTTGGTAACCCATCAAGTTAAAAATTTTTGGTTGTCACGTGATTGTCTGCACATACATTCATCCATCTGTATGTCATGTAAATCAATGTGAAATGTCACTCTGCAACAACCAGCTAGTTCCCAAGGCCTAATCATTTCCCTTAGAGATCAGGAGGGGTGGGTTTTACAACGTACATCTTTCATATTGAGCCTCCATGTTATTGGCACCTGTCAAAACAAGGTATCTGCTGGCCAGTATCACGTGACCATATAGTGGGCTCATGTTTAGAGTGCATCCTGGTCTCATGTTTTTTGGTAGTTGGCCACTGTCCAGGTACAGGTTTTCAACTGGATCGCAGGCTCAAGCCAGGTTAACTTATTGTAACCAGGAGCTCTGCTTTTAGGCTTGGCTAAATCTATGTATTACAATCACTCAACAACATACTTCCAGACTTTTTTTTTGCATTTTATTTCTGGGTAGAGAAAAAGAATTGGAAACTCACTGACCTTTGGGAACATCAATTAGGATTTGTCAAAATTGACATTTCCTGGACTGGTTAAAGATTATACTAGCTTCTACATTATTGCCTTGTTCATTCAAGTAATTAGTTAAACATTGATTTCACTTTAGAGAAATTCAAGACATAGATTTCAGTGATATGTTTTTGGTTTCATATGATGTTACTAGTCTTTTTACTAATATACCTTTGTCTGAAACCATTGATTTAGCTGTTAATGCAATTTTTGATAGTAACACTGAGTCGGACGTAAAACTAAGCAAATTTCAACTTAAGGAACTTTTCAAATTTGCTACAAGTCACACCCATTTTTTATTCAACGGTTGCTTTTATGATCAAGTAGANAACGACGCCGTTTCCTTTATCCGGTCTTAAGAAAGTGATGTCTTTGTTCTGTTTGAGTTTCTTCAGTATTTTAAGTTTCTTTAAGTCATTTGTTGTAGGTTTAAAAGAATTGACATAAGTCGTAGCCAGATGTTGAATTTCACTTTTTACTTCATTGGCCTTGCTCTTGTCCACGAGATGTCTTTTGAGATCTTGGTGAAGATGGAGTAGCTATGGGCTCACCTCTAGCCCCTGTATTAGCCAATTTCTTTATGGGTTATTATGAAAAGCTTTGGTTAGATAATTACGCCAGTCCTAGAGTACTATACTATCGCAGATATGTAGACGATATTATTTGCTGTTTTAGAAACAGTGAACATGCCAATATGTTTTTTGAATACCTTACAGGCTATACAACCTTGCGAACTGCAGGAGTCGTACTGGCCCGTCAACACTTTTAAAACTCTGTATGACATTCATGGACGGGCCCCGTCCTGCCTCGTACAAGTTAACTGGCGTTTCCAAGATTTTAGCATGACACATTTACGCAGTAAGCGGGGCATTTATCACCGCCCCAAAAGAAAAACTAACGTTAGATTTCACTCATGGAAAGCCAACCACTGGCCTTAGTAAGATAGGTCTAGTCAAAACATACACTGACCTACATTAGATAGGTCAAGTTTCAAAATCGACTGACCTTGAACATACGTTAGGATCGAAAATCACACGACACTATTGGCCAGTTGAATCTGACCAATAAGAAATGAGGCGCAATTTTTCGATCCGAATAACGGTCATCAAGGATATAAAAACTCCAAAGAACAGAATGCGTTCTGACTGCTCTCAGAACCTTTACTGGCAACTGACGAGATTCATTTAGAATCGAAACTTCAGTCTTGCCTTAGCAGTAATATGACAGAAACACTCACAAAAAATGGTTTTCTCATCGAAACCACAGAGCAAGAACTAACTGAAGAAATGCAGACTGAATTTAGCGATTTAACGGAAGAAGACGAAAACAGCCTTCTGTCCGATGAAACGTACGAACAGATCTGAAGACGAAATCCCTAGCGCTCAAGTACAGAGGCAGAAGCCTACAACCGGTAACGAGCAGAGATTTAAACAGCCTAAAGAAAAACACAGCAACTCGAGCCACCAATACAACGGTTTGGGCAGAAAACGCCACCGGGAAGACAAGTCCACCAAAACTAACGACAGCACCGGCGTGAAGAGATCCCGCCAAGAAGAAGAGCTGAGTTCAATACAAGAGAGGATTACTAGCTCAAACAACTCCATCGGTTTTCTTTAAAAACCACTTGGAGAAAGGGACTTGTCCTAAGACCTTAAGATATAACGCGCGGGCAAACATTACGCCCGATGAGGATTTCAAAAACGAAATAGGCTCGATCAGGAAAAAGGCAGAACAGGCTCTCGTAGGAGCGCTGGTGAAATTTCACCATAGGCGCATTGAAAGACTCACAATTAAGTTAAGAAAGCTTGAGCAAGCAAAGTCTCGAAGGTGCAACTTTGTAAATAAGCAGTCTTCAAACAGAAAACAACCGCTGGCTAGTGAGAAAATTGTAAAAAACGAGAATGTTGACGAACTAGCCACAGTCATTTTAGCCAAGATTAGCGACACACTGCTGGAAAAGATCAGGTCTGAAACAACGAATAAACAGA